AATGTAATTTCAGAGATCTTTTAGAGTCTCTTCATGGGCCTTGGACTCAAATGACCCAGATTATACAGCATGTTTTATTTGATCGAATTACCTACTTGTTGTTACTGCATTGCCCGGCCATTTCTAGTAGAATGAGTTAAATAGAAATTTATCCTTTTATGATACATGTCATTATAATAACATCTTAAAAAAATTTTTTTTTTTAGTTTATTTGAGCCAAAACTGATGACAATTGCCAGGGAGTAAGATCTCAAACGCTTCTGGAGAATAAGTTTTGCAGCTTTTATAATACAATATTTATAGTAAGATTTCTAAGGCCAAAGCAGCATACTTATAAAAGCATAATCACTCTCAATTTGTTTCAAGTATATTTGAAATTAAACATAAAATTATTGTTTTTTCGTACAGTTTTTAAGTCTATTACCTTCCTCCTTTTTTGTGAAAGAAACTTCTATATTGAAGAAATAAAACTTTAATGATCTAGGATGTAAAGCAGAATAAAATGTGAGCAATATTAGTAGTTCTCATTGTCTAGTTAATAAGCCTACCTGATTTGTGCCTTTGAAGGCTTGCAAAAGAGATGTCAGAGGGGTATAAATTATGATTGGATTTGCAATTGAGTCTCAACATTTTGATTTGTAAAGCATGAGTTACAACTCTTCAGCTGTTCTTTCACATTTTAGTAATTTACAGCAGCCAGAGGCAGAATCAGAATTTTCAAGACTGGATGGCACTTCATATATAATCTTAACACCTATATACGTGATTTGTGACAGCACCAGAATTTTATTTCAGATCTCTAGGCTTCTAAGTCCAGTAGTATACTTTTGTCTAGAGCTGGCAAATTATAAGTTTTAAAAAATTCTTTCTCAGCATAATGTAGATATAGAGAATGGAGAAAAAGAACGAGAAGATAAAGGGAAAAACTGTCATATATTAAAGACATATACTATGTTAGTCTGGTCATCACTGAACATAAGTCCTTATTTCAAGATTTTATTTTATTATATATTATTTTTTTTTTAGATGAGGCAACCTTTGGTTGACTTCACAGATTGCAAGGACCTTGTCAGTTTACAATCCCTTATTTTTTATTTTTTATGCTTACAGCACTTGGTCTTCCTAGGTGATCTCTCATCCAAGTATTAACCAGGCCCGACCCTGCTTAGCTTCCAAGATCAGATGGGGATCGGGCTTGTTCAGGGTAGCATGGCCATAGACCGCAAGATTTTTAAAAGGTATTTCTTTTCTCAGTGGCTAATACAACTCAATTTACTCTTTCTTTTAAAAACTCAGCCTCAGTCCAAGAAGTTCCTGTAGAACCATCAAATATTTTACTCCCGGTCAAGCAAAAGAGTCAATGTCAAGAGAAAAAGAAAGCTCCCCTGCATAATTTAACTTACGGTAAAATGCTTTTTGTTTTGTTTTTTCGTTTATTTTAATGTATAATTAAATGTTCTAGATAATTATTTTCCCTGTGTAGGTATGCAGTAAGCATTGACTGTAGATAAAAATTGAATCATAAAAGCCAGAGGCACTCAGAGACTGTCAGAAAGGAAGGTGGAGCATTCCTGACCTGAGGACCTCTTTTTAATATAAACAGATTTCAGTTGTCTTGTTTCTCTTTTAATTTCACATGATTCTTCTATAAATTTTGTTTGGTTTTGTATTTTTGCAGAGCTCCCAATTCTGAACCAAGAACATGACAATGTTTTAGCTGCAGGAGTCTCAAACCGGGCATTAACTAGAGCTCAGTTGGCTAAACAAATTCTTCTTCATTCAAAGGAGAATACAGTTGCAACTACTAAGTCCAAAAAGGACACCTTTGTTTTAGAATGCATTGATTCAGCCTATGAAAAATCCCAAAATACTACTTTTGAGACTCTCAATACCAACTGTGTTCTTGTTAAAAATGGCAATCAGTTAATCGTTTCTGATAATGAGGTGACAACAAAAAGGACTTCACAACAAGAAATTAAGGAAGGAAATGAGAAAACAATGCCCAGAGAGACTTATCTTCCAGGTTCCATAAATGATACGTGTAAAATTGTGCTTGCAAGTCCAAAATTTCATGCAACAATACCTCGGAGATCAAAAAGATATGCTGCAAAGCCTCCTGCACCAAGTATATTTCAAACTACTATCAATGGAGTTAAAAAAAATAAGGTAGGAAAACCTTTAATGCAGATGTGTATTTCTGGCTTTACCTCCATTCTTCAAGAGCTTGACCTTTTATAATGTCTATTAAAGTAACTTCATTTTTGTGTTTTATTGCTTTAGAAGTAGTGTGGTCTAGCAAAAAGAGCAGTGAGTTCAAAGTAAAAAGACCCAGGTGTTAAGCCTTAACCTTGCCCTATTACTAGCTGTATAGATTTCAACAATTTACTTACTCCCTTTGGGGATGAACAGTGAGTTCATTCTTGTTCTTTTTTTCCCTAATTCTCGGAGTAGTATTAACAGTAAAAGAAAAAGGAATTACACATAGCATTTGAAAATTTGAGAATTTTTTCTATTATAAAGTAATAGAATGATCAATAAAAAAAAGACTTCAGACCATTAAACTATATTATATTGGGACAGATTCTCTGAAGAAAGTGGAATGGAAAAACAAGTTCAAGAAAGGTACAATGTAAGATTTCCAGTTGTTAATGGTTTGTCTATTAATTTTTAAAAGGATGATGGGTGTTTTCCAGACAAGCCAGAATCTTTATGGTCCAGTTTCTACCAGCAGCTCCTTAAAATGTTAAATCATGTCATTCCTCTGCTCAAAATCCTCCAGTAACTTCTTATCTTAAGAGAAAACACTAAGCTGTTACCACAGCTTACAGTACTCTATATAATTCAATCTTGGAGATATCCAACCTCATCTCTTATTCCCACTTACTTACTCCTTTCAAACCTGTGTCATCCATGCTACTTACTTAGGACATTTGCATTTGTTCCCTCTGCCTAGAAGAATCTATTCCCAGATATCCATATGGCTCATCCCTTACTTCATTGTCCTCTGTTCCAAGACCTTCCCTAACATCCTATTAAAAAAGCACTTCCAGTTATCTAATGACTTATACTTACTTTAAGTAGTAATTATCACCAGCTGATATTTTATTTTTTATTTGTCCATTTGTTTGGATAGCAACACCATCGCATGACTTGCTTCTACTGTCTCCCAACCCCAATAATGTTTGCTCTTAGAGGGCAGCCATTCTGTTTCTTGCTGAATCCCCAGTGCCTAAAACAGTGTCTGTCACATAGAGCTCAATAAATATTTGCTGAACGAATATGAGTGAACAATGAACATTTTGACATTTTATATAAACAGCATGATAAAGGATTCTAGATCCAGAATTCCTAATTTGTAACCCATCTGTGCCACTAACTAGCTATGTGTGCCAAGGGCAAGTTATTTAACTAGACCTTACAGAGTTTTCTATAAAACAAAGATAATACCTGCCTCCTAATGTTATGAGGATAGCATGAGTCAATGCATCTAAGGTGCTTGGAACACTATCTGTTTTTAGCCTTTATTTTTAATACTATCTGACTGATTCTTTGATATATATTGGGTAGTTCCAAATGTGGAAGTAGGAAAAATAAAGGAATTTTATTGCCTCTTCCCCAAGTACTACATATAATTTTTTAAATGAACATAGTTGAGAAGTGCAATAACTAAGAGCACCTTTCCATTTTAACATTTTTTCCTGACTCAACATAAAACTACCACTGGAGAATTTGTCTTTATAAATGTACAATTTTATATGTAAAGTAAATGGCTAGTAAAATTAATTATTTTATGACTTTGGACTATATATCTCATCAGAAATGGTTCAGTATTGTTACATAATAGAATAATTTCTTAGCACAGATGTTCACAGAAATTTTCCTTTATAATGGAATTTTACTTGTCTTAAAATAAGGAATTCTCTGAGCTTTTCAGGAATTTGCTTTGGAATACAATGCTATTAAATATAGATTGCTAGCAATCACTTATAGTTTATAGAAAATTGAATGCAGCTTCAAATCAACTTTGCAAAAAAAATGCTGTAATTTTTTTAGGGGTAAGAGTGATAGTGACATGTATACTATACAACTGACTTTTTTTCTTCAAGTTACTGGGTCTTTGTGGGACATGGTGTTTTAATGGCTACCTTAGGATTTTAGGTGATTTTTTTTTTCCTTTCATGGTTGAAATATTCGATACTAAGAATATTAAAGTATAATTGATTCTGGGTTGTAGAACAAATTATGCAGCGCAACTTCAGTTTCTTTTGCCATCTTCTCTGTATCATTGTTTATAAGAATTTTTAACTTGTTGCTATTTGAAATAGAATGTGATTTTTATATAGATGAGCACTAAAGAATCATATGGATTACATATGAGTTTTTTTTAATTTCATGTATATTGATTTTGTAGAGCTTATGCAATAAGTAATATAGGAAATATTATTTTATGCTTGATTAGGTAGTCCAGCTACAGGAATGGATGATTAAAATCATCAACAATAACACTGATATATGTGTAGAAGGAAAATTGATGTAAGTATAATATTTGAATATTCTTCTAATAAAATTTGTAATAAAATAAGATACCTGTGTGTAAGAGCTGAAAAGGAGATGCATGAGAAATAGCATCTTCCTACAAAATGAAGACTAAGTAGGTTACAAACTGAAGGCAAAAAAGTAAGTTGACTATATGTGTTGACTATAACCAGCCTTCTTGCTTTTGCCTGTTATTTTAAAATTATGACAGTTCAAATTTGTATATACAATGCTTTATTTTTTTTCCAGAGGTTCTGATAAGTGGATTGGTATTATCTGCTTAATTATATGTGGTTAGTTAATATTTACTATATGCATTTCAGTCCAGATTCTCAACATCTAAATTGGGACAACCAGATATAAATTACTGATCAGAAAAGGAATCAAAATTAGTTAGTTCTTGCCATACAGCTATATATTAAGTAATCATTGGCACTCTCTGGTTCTCCAGAGGTAGGTGGGCTTTGTTTAATTCTGCTGATCTAGTAGCATCATTTCTTATTGTTCAAAATCGATTTCTTAGTGGTTAAAAAAAAAAAAAAGGTAATGAAAGCTTGTAATAAAGATAATACAGGATATCACTGTCCAAAGTACTTACCTGGAAATTTATGTTAAGTATGTAAAATCTGTCTTGCCCACTCTATTTCTTCCTGCCTTGTTTCCGTTTCCTGAATGTTCAAGAGGCAGTGTAGATTGCCTTGGTTGGAATCCTATTGCTGCTTATTCTCTTTGTCTTAGTTTTTTCATCTGCACAATGGTGATACTAATACTACAACTACCTTTTGAGTTATTTGGCAGATTAAATGAGTTATAGTTTTAAGACTTGAGAACAGTACTTTTAGAGTGCTATTTAAATGTTTTTAAAATAAAATTAATAAAGCAAAAAACAGAGGATGAGAAGTAATACTGTATTAAAGTACAGTGTCTGAATTTTTATCTCATTTGACCAAACTAAAGGAACTTACTTTCTTACTTTTTACACTTAGATTTAGTATGTTTATTATTAGTTATCTCATGAGAATGTTCAACATTTATCTAATACATCTTCATATTTCATTTTATTTTATATTTATTCTCAGCTTCATTTAAAGAAATATGAAGAGTACATTTATGGGTCAGTGATTTGATACTGCAGTTTGTTTTTTCCCTGGAACTTCTTTTTGGTACTTACCAAAGAAGAATGCAGAAACATTTGGCTGTATAGTGAGGGTAAAAAAAACCACAAGATTAGATGGATCCAAACTATAATTGTATGACAACTAAGATAGTATAGGCCTTGAGAAGAGGACAGAGAAATCATTCTTTGAAAGCTTAGCGTCAGTTAAACGAAGTCGCAAGCATTGTCAGAACCAGATATTTAGAGAAGTTCCCTGCTTCCTTGCCTACAATGTATTTTATACAAGGAATGTGGTTTGGTCACAGCATAGTTTTTTGGTACATACTCTGAGGATCACATTAGCCAAACAGTTGAATTCTGCTGCAATGTTTGGTCATCATATGTTTTGTAATTAATGATATTGTTAATATAGCTAGAATGCAAATTTATTACTTTATGTTATAAATTTACATACTTATCTATGTACATTATAACTAATGATCAATGTGAATATTTTGGCCTTAACTAAGCTATTTTTCCTCCTAGAGACATCACTGACATATATTGGCACAGTAATGCAATTATAGAACGGATTAAGCACAACAAACTTAGGACATTATCAGGCAACATTTATATATTAAAAGGAATGATAGACCAGATTTCCATGAAAGAAGCAGGTAATGGCTCATTATTAATTGATAAATTATTTTAATTAATGAAGCAGTTAACCATATTTCTAACAGTAATATACATGTTTTCAGTCAAAACTAAAAATTAAAACAATTGACCACACTATGTAGGATGATTATAAGCTGATCATTTTTCTCTGATTTATTCACCTTATTTGACAACTTAAGTCCAGTGATTTAAAACAAACAAACAAACAAAAAAACACAAAAAACTGAAGTGCTGCTTATTTGGGAGGAATTACTTTATAAGAATACAATTTAACTTCCTAGTTCCTCCTCTGCCCAGCATACCCCCAAGTCCTGGTATAATCTAATTTTCTGCCTGTGCCTTATGTATAGCTAATCTGACTGAAGAGAAACACATCTGGACAGTCTGTTTTTAATTTCTGATTACCAAAAAGTTGCGGTCCCTTATTGCCACTTGCTATCTTACCACATTTCCCTTATACATTCACTTTTCTATCCTCCTTGATAACTACTGCGTATTTTCACAAATCTCCAATACTTCCTTCTACTCTCTCTAGGGGGTAGGGGAGAGGGGTGGGTGGAGGACAGAGGGTATTATATGAGCAATAGGAACGATTAGAAAACATGTATTAGACCGTATCTACTCACCTGCTTGCATCTGTATCTGCTTTTATTATGGGCTAACTGTTCATGTTCCTGTCTGTGTCAGCTTCTCCATTTGTACTCTTGCTCCTGTTTTCCCTCTTTTATTCGAAGATATCCCTTTTGTCAAAAACAATCTCTTGTTTAACGATACTTCTTTCAATCACTGTTGCTTTCAATCAGCAAAATAACAACATTTATTATATTGAAATTCCTCTTGAAATTTTCCCGCTTTTTTCTTGGAATTCTCTTTAAGCGTGCTTCGATTCCCAGTTCTTCAATGAAGCAGCCCTTATAAAAATCACCGGTAGCCCCCACATTGCTAAATCCAGTATAATAACACAGTTAATCATACCTACCTCCTTGAAGCACCCTCTTTACTTGACTTCTGGAACACCGTATTCTGATTTTCATGCTGCCTCACTCCCTGTTCTTTCATAGTTTTTTTGCTCATTTTTCTTTTTTTTTTTTTCTTTGTCTCTAAATAATGGGGTAGACTAGGGCTCTTTCTCCACTCAATCCTGTGTCGATTTCTTTTAGTCTTTAAATCTTGTCTGTATGGTGACAAATGAAAAATTTCCATCTCTAACCAAGAATACTCTCTAAGCTGCTCATTTTCCACTGCCCATTTGACATCTCCATTAGCATGTCTGCAGATATCTCAAACTGAATATAGTCTTAAATCACTTAATGAGAGGGATATGTTCTGAGAAATGCATCATTAGGCAGTTTCGTCATCATGTGAACATCAGAGTGCACTTACACAAACTCAGATGGTATAGCCTATACCTCCCAGGTTACAAACCTTACAGCATTTTACTCTAGTGAATAGTGTAAGCACTATTCACAGTAACACAATGGTAAGTATTCATGTATCTAAACACAGAAAAGGTATAGTAAAAATACAGTATAAAAGATAATGATATACCTGTATAGGGATTTTTAAAAACTTTTTGACTTTTATAATACTTAGCTTAAACATATTGTACAGCTATACAAAAATCTTTATATTCTTATTCTATATTAATAGCTATTAGTAATGCATTGTGCTATGATATCATGACAGGTACAATGTCACTAGGCAGTGCAAATTTTTCAGCTCTATTATTATATTATGAGACCACCTTTGTATATGCAGTCTATCGTTGACCAAAATGTCATTATGTGGTGCATGACTGTATATCTAAAACCTGATCTTCTCCTCAAATCTGCTTAGCCTACAGTCTTCACCCTCTTTTCATGATTCCAGTGGCTAGCCAAAATCTTTGGAGACATCCTTAAATCCTCAGTTTCTCTCATACCGACATCTAGTGTGTCATTATATCTTACTGGCATTGTCTCCAAAGTATATCCAGAACCTAGGCCTCTACTGGCCACTGTAGTACAGACCTCCCTCTTTTGTCTGAATCATTGCAGTAACCTCCTAACTGGTCCTGTTTTTTTCTTCCCTTTTTTCCACAGACTCTTTTCAGAATAGTGGTAAATTTTGTCCTGTTAAAGTCAAATCCTGTTGCTCCTCTGCTCATAATCTTTCCATAGCTTCCTCTCTCACCCAAATGAAAAGACTAGGTTTGTAAAATGACCCTGATGACTTATAATCTCCTATGCTCCCCAGTTGCCTCTGTTACCTATGAGTAGCTTCCTAGTACTAGCCTCGTCTCACTTCACATCTACTAAGTTGATTTCTTTGTTCTACAAACAGGCCAGGCATGCTCTTGAATCATACAGTAGCCTTTTGTTCTCTCTGCTTCCATTGTTTTAACCCCATATTGTCATGTGGCTCACTCGCTGATGTCCTTCAGGGCTTTACTCAAATGCTTTTTCAGTGAGAACATCTCTGACTATACTTTTTTAAAATGCTGCCTGCCCCCCCTATTCCCCCTTAACTGCATAATTTTTCTTCATAGCATCAATGACCATCTAATAAGATACTTATTGGTTTGCTTTCTGTTGCACACTAGAAGGCAAGTTCCATGAAGTCAGGGATTTTAGTTTGTTTTGTTTATTGCTGAATCCTCAATATCTGCAACAGTGCCTGAGACATAGTAAACAATAAGTATATATTTTTTCATTGATACAATGAATTAGTGACATCTCTTTAAAAATCTAAGCTTTTAGGTAATTTCGTTTGTTTATCATTAAATAGGCTATCCAAATTATCTCATAAGGAAGTTTATGTTTGGCTTTCCAGAAAGATGGAAAGAGCACATCGATAATTTTCTAGAACAATTAAGGTAAAGTACTTTTTTAACTTAAAAAAAACTTTATTGAAGCCTAATTTACATTTGATAAAATGCATGCATTTTGGGTATACAATTTGATGAGCTTTTACAAATTTATATACTCATGTAAAGTGGTTTTAATTTCTTTTTATGGAAATGCTAGTTTTGAAACTTTGATATTAGACTTTCAGAAGGCAGTGACACTTTTCTAGAATTTCTGTCATACAAAATAAATCTAAAAGGAAAATAAAACCTTTGTCATATTTCAGGGAATCATCCTCATTGACCCTTTAAGAAGCATGTAGCAGTTAAATATGTGTCTGAAGTTCTTGGCTCTTTCTCTTTCATTTGTTCCCTCTATAGTCAGTGAATGTCAGCTGCTTAGTAGATAATTGTGTTGGCACTGGGAAAACAAAGAAGAAATTAATTCTTGCCCTTAAGGAACTCATAGGGGATACAGTGATGTAAGTTAATTAGTCACAGTACAATGGAAGAACTTATAACAGGTTGGCAATTTTTTCTGTAAAGGGCCAGATAGTATTTTTATAGGCATTCTGCTTCTATCGCAACTGCTCAACTCTGCCTTTGTAGAGGAAAGGCAGCTATAGACAGTACTTGAATGAATGTGGTTATGTTTCAGTAAACTTCATTTACAAAAATAAGCAACTGACAGGATTTGTCTTGTATTATTTTTCTAATAATAACAGTTTAAGTAGGAAATATAAAAGCATAGTAGGAAGTATTTAAGAGGTTACGTTTGAATCTTTTGACTTAAAATACCATGCCTGAGTTTTTCTGCTGGAGAAGGGATAGAAGCCACAAAGCTAAATAATGTAAGATTAATGGTAATCTTTGCCAGTGGCAAGAAGGCTTTAGCTGAGGGAGTGACTTTTTTTTTTTTTTTAAATGTATGAAGTTATGGTTAAGTTTGGGTTTGGGTGAAGTTTAAAGTTAGGGTTAGGATTAGGTTTATGATTAAGGTTGAGGTTAAAAGTTAAGTTTAGGGTTACTCTTTGGTTTAGGGTTAGGATTGAAAATTAGGGTTAGGCTAGGGTTACTTTTAAGGTTAGATTTACTATTTAGAATTAGTGTTAGGGTGATGGCTGAGTTTAGGATTAATTTTAGGGATAAGGTTAATTAAGTTTGAGAATTAGGGTTAAGGTTAGAGTTAGATTTAGGATTAGAGTTAGGTTTAGGGTTAGGTTTAAAATTAGGAACAGTGTTAGGATTAGAGTTCTGGTTAGGATTGGTATGTTATAGTTAAGGTTAGGATTAGGGTTACATTTAGGGTTGAGGTTAGGTATAGGAGAGTTTCATTTATTTGTGGGTTTAGTTTTTTGTTTTTGTTTTTTGAGAACCAACATTAGAGGAAAAATACTATATGTTTTTAGAGCTTGTGAAAAGAAAAAGAGAAAGGCCAGGCAAACACAGAAAACTGGAAGTTTTGTCCCTGACACACAAAAATCAATGAAAAATGATGCAGGAGAAAACCAAACAGATGCCCTCCAAAGAGCCAGTACCACTTATGACCTTGATTGTGATCACTCAGGTATGTTTACTATTTTCTTCTCTGTTGGTATAGTGATAAATTCTTATATGAGCTCCACATTAATTTTTTACAGTACATAGAATATTGAGTTCTTATCTCATACTGTCCTAAAATTCCTGTTTTTTTACCACTTAAGGGGGGAAAACTGCAAAGCAGATTGCTCATAGTCAGCATCTAGCTTTCTTCATTAAATATTACCTTTAATTAATTAGAATACCAAGAATACTGATAAACATATCAGTGAAAGATGATTATTCTTTCATTTCCTAGACCAAGGGTACTTAAGCTGCCAGCCTACTTCAAACCTATATTAAAAATGCCTATATATTTGTACTAAATTTCATTCTTATTAATTGACAAAACCAAGTTGCTTTCATAGAGGAAATGGCATGTATTTATTGTTTGTTTGTTTGTTTAAATGACCATTGCTATAAAGATAGCTGGCAAAATGGTTTCAGCTCTTTGCCCAAACTATAAGCTGCCTCACATTCAATCCCATCCCCAACTCCTGCGGGGGGGAATCATTTACAATCTTTTTTAGATAATTACAATCTTTTTTAGATAATATAGATGACTAAAAGTTACTAGAAATCTGTTGTATAAATTTCTGACCGTGTAAACAAAGCTTTATAGAACTTCAAGAGGAGTTCAGGACTGCTTCTGCCAAAAACATAGCACTACGCTGGATATGTCACTCCTCCACCACAGCACACCCCTCTTCTCTGTGTCCTAGGTCCCTAACCACTTTGAAACTTTGCTTATCCTCTCTAGTACAAAGGAATAAATTAAATATGCGGATGAATGCTTGCTCAGAGCTAAAATTTACTCTTTATTGTTGCTCCAGTTTCTTCTCAGCCCTTCATCATTTTTCAAATGTCATCCTATTTCCTGTAAATTAGATATCGTTTATTGTCATTGCTAGACCATTTTTAGTATTCAAGAGTCCTGAGGCTGCAGCACTTGCTGTATACTTTTTTACTCCTAAAATTAAAAGTCCCTAAACATATATCTCACTTTCAATCATTTTTTTAATCTTTAGTCTTAGATCTTAACATCTCCCCACACCTTATTTTTCAGAAATTTGCCCTAAATTATGAATGTTATTGGTAAAGTGTTTGAGGATACAAGTGTAAAAGACTAGTTTGTTAAACTATTTTACATGCCAGCTGTGTCCATAGGAAAATCCTTCAACAAATATTTTTAAAGTACCTACCATAAACCTTGATCTATGTTAGCCTTTAGGAACTGAGAGATGAATAAGATGAGATGCTCCCCCTTGGGAAGCTCAGGTTAGAGGCAAATATTACCTATGTCTTTTTGGATGGATGTACTTTTCCTGGTGTGATTCATTAGGTCTTTGTTTTATGAAACTGTTAAGACATTGTGTATCCTTATATTACATAAGTTGTTTTGAGTGGTGGTAGTTGGTGCTGTTGTTGCTTTTATTGTTATCGTTACACTTTTCATGAGAAAACTACTAAAGTAAAACCATGTCTAACATTAAACAACTAAGGTTATGTAAAAGTGTCAACCAATGATAATTAAGATGATGTGATTGTGTGCATATATTTTAATGATATGCTTAAAATGTAGTTTTGCATATTTAGTGCTATAATCTATATATCCTAATACTGCTTTTAAAATACTTCCTCTGTTATTATACTTAACAGAGTTTGTTAGAAATTATCTTTTATAATATCAGCCTCTTTCACTATACTGTAATAATCTCAAGAGTAAGGACCGTCCACTATGTATCTTCAGGTACACCTTGTAGAAAAATAACAAATGTTTTTATAGTTTTATGTCTTTTTTAACTTACTTAGAATTTCAGCTCAATAACCGTTCGTTGAGTTTATATCATATTCTATATAATTTGGTTTTGCTTAAAATTAATTAGCATGGATTTAGTTATACTTTGGAGTGCATAAACTAATTAAAACATAAGAATTCAATCTGCCAGAAGAAATTTAGAGGGAAATAGTTATTACATTTCTGTTTAGTTGATGCGGAATTAAGATGAACAGGAATTTATATTTACAAAATGGTTTAACATTTATATTTTACCTTTAAATGTGACAAAGGAGATCCAAAACAGATAGTAATAAATAATATTGCTGTTCAATTCTTTTTTTTTTTTTTAAGGTGAGGCAACCCTTGGTTGACCTCACAGATTGCAAGGACCTTGTCAGCTTACAATCCTTTATTTTTTTCATTTTTTACACCTACAGTACCTGGTCTTCCTAGGTGGTCTCCCATCTAAGTACTAACCAGGCTCGACCCTGCTTAGCTTCCGAGATCAGACGGGATCGGGCTTGATCAGGGTAGCATGGCTGTAGACTTGTCTTTGTTTTTTGATGGGAATCAAAGTAATTTTACTATTTATTTATTTATTTATTTAATGATGACATTGGTTAACGAAATCCAATAAGTTTCAGCTGTACATTTTAACAATGAGGCATATAATAAAAGTAATTTAAACAAAACATGGCCCTATGCAGAGTGATTCTGTCCAGATAAAATTGCTTTATATCATAGTCAAATTTTAACAAATATTTACGATTTTGGATTAGACAGATTTTTTTCAAAGTGAATGCTTTAATGTAGAAGGGCAGCTTTATCTTTATATAAATCATTTACTGAAATCTCCATCTTTGTACTCATAGAGCTAAAGAATAGTAAGCATAGTAGGTCACCAGGAACTACAGAATTAAACATTTGCCAGAGTAATCACCAAAGTAAACCACCATTAAGGCTCCCAGATGACCAAATAAATAATACTGTTCAAAATGGAGAAGGATATGATTTATCTAATCAGGTAAGCTTTTACTGTACACTGTAGAGGGGTGGTGTGTTACTACTGAAAAGGTTCGGGGCCAAATCAGAAATCATGGGTTTTGTTAAGTGTCAGCTTTTCATTAGTTTGGGCATGTAGGTAGATGTCTTGATATTTATTTTCCCAGTGTCTCATTGGAAAAATGCAGGCAAAATAATAAAATTTTAGTTCTTTGAGTAAAGTTTAAAGTATGTAAATATAAAAGCACTTGAAAAAATGAGAGTGTTAAATCAGTAAAGGAAATATGTAAGATAGTGGATACCCACATGGTGCTTCCAAAGCTCAAGCTCTGATAAATGAGTTTCTGAATGCTTCCACTATGAAATTTGTGGAAGTATAGGTGCCGAGAAATTTATATGCTTGATACATACTGTGAAAATGCTTGAGGTCTTGTTTCTAGGTAGTAGTTGTTACAGTAAAAAGTTATCTTTTTGTTTTGAAGGATTCTATTAGAAAAAAGGAATGTAAAAAGTTGTCTTCAAAGAAACTCAAAAATTGTGAAAGAACAACAAATAAAAGGATAATTAAAAGTCAGGAACAAGGTAATATATCGGTTTTATAATAAGTAGAAAGCTACTATTTGAAAATTTTTAAAATAATAAATGTGATCTTGTAGATTTTCAAATCTAACATGGTAGACCAACTATTTCAGTAGTTATAAATGTTTGGTTTTGTTTTTTTACAGATGATTTTCATAGTAAAATAATTCATTACTTTAAATAACATTTACTTGCAGGTTTGCCTCCTTTAATCTAAGTACTAAATAATTTTGTTTAAATCACAAAATTATATATCATTTAAAAAATGCTTATAGGAATGTTTTAAGACTGAATCTTTTTATGAAATTAATACCATAATTTAGTTTTGTGTAAGTGTGGATTTTCAGAGTGATTTCATTGAAATCCTGGATACCAGAATTTGTATAGCCTTTTCTTTATGCATTAGCAAATTTAAAATTTCATGTTGAGTTAAATGCATTAGCTCAATAGCATTATTTTCCATTTTATTTCTTATAAGTGAAAAAAAATGAAAATGGAGAACATTTATAAGTGTGTAAAGAAGTAGAGAGGAAATCAATACTGCTTAGACTATCAAGTTCATATGACTTAGGTCAAAGTAACCAGAATAAGCTGAGTCCTTATTCAAATTATTTAATGAAATGAATAAAAATAGAATAAAAATGCTTTGCTCAAAATTAGAACCTTCAAAATTTTTTAATTGCCAGTTGAACATTTGAATATATTTTTATGAGGAATTAGAAGAAAACACTTCTCATGATATGAAGATACATGATTCCATTGAAAAGTCTTGTAGAAACTTTCTTGATTACTTTTGATTAGTACCACTCCTTCATGAATTAGCCTTTTTTTTCTCCCCAGCATTCAGTATTACCCACCATTCTTTTATTTTGTCATTCATCTTTAAAGTGCTGCATAATATATATAGGTTATTGCAGTATTTCACTGTGATGACTGGTGTGAAACTTTAAAATTTATGCCTATTTATAATTACAACTGGATAATTTAAAGTTAGAAATTAAATTAGTTTGGCTTCTGGTTTCTTAAGTTTTAAATTGAAGAATTTCCCTCATTTTGCTTTCTTTAGCGACATGGTATTATAAAGATTTCCAAGCTCTGTTTTGGTGGAAATCCCATGGTACTTCATGGAGTTTTGGGGAATTCAGCAATAGGGTGTCTGTCACCACAGTAAGGGATGAGAATGGGCCCTGTAGATGGAGTTCCATGTTCTCCTACTTCCCTCCTTAATTAGGACAGCTTTTGTTCTATGTGTTACATACCTAGTAAGGGTTTAGCAACCCTAATGGTTTTCCTGTGTCTCCTAAATATTTTAGCTCCAAGGAATTGATTTAACAGATATTTATTTAGCATCTAGTGTATATATGAAAGACTCTGAACTAACTCCAGCCAAAAAAATCTAAAAATTAAGACAAGCATTTTTTTCTGTCTAGTTGAAAGATAAGTGTGTAATTATAATGTAGAGCACATTGTCAAACATGGCATTATTAAAAAGTATTCTGAAAATTTGATAGAGCTTTCATTCAGTTGAGGGAATTAGGACAAAGTTTGTGGGCTAGATAGGTTAGAGGATAGAACTGAAACTGGTAGCGATTTGGTTTGTAAATTAGTGAAGGAAACTTTCCAAGTAGAGTGAATGGCATTACTGAAAGTTGAGAATCAAGAAAATTTAAGAAACAGTGGCCTCATAGACATAGAAAGAATATGGTTCAGATGTGAGTACAGTGAAAGATTAGAACTATATTTGAAAGCCAGGTACAAGAACTTATATGCACTCTAAGTAGACTATAAGAAGTCATGGACAGGTTGATATAGAAAAAAGTATGTATTTTCAATCAAAGGGGTGGTGATCTGAACAAACTGGTGCTTCAGGAAGATTAATATGACAGTAGTATGTAAAGTGGGGTGGAGAAAAACAGTATATTTTATTTGTGAAAATAGTTTTTCTATACTTTATTTTGTTTATAGCTAATTTGAGATTTTGATGTTTGTTTTGTCTTATGAAATTAAAAGAGAGAACCGAAGAATCGAATGTACCTATTGATATTATCATGAGGGAACCATTTTTCTCAGACAAAGAAAGAAAATATACGGTTTTTAATCAAAAGGAAGTTTATATTGTAGTAACACCACTTAAATCTAAAAACGTGATAGAGCAAAAATGCATGAAGTATAATCTGTCATCTAGTACCATTAAAGCAGTAGCAGATTTTATAATTCCAAAACATCAAAAGGAAAGTGAGTCACACTTAAATGAAACACGTCTGATCAGTAAGCCCACAAAGACTTTTGAAAATGCATTTGAGTGTGGTGTGGGTCATAAAAGTAAAAACAAGGAAGATTGCAGTGAACGAGATTTACTCACTGTCAACCAGAAAATAAAAATATCTAGTCCTAAAAAGGAACAAACAGTCACCTCTGACTTCAAGAAAAATACAAGGTTATCAAAATTGAAGAAAACTGATAATCAAGTAACTACATCATTTCACGAGCATCAGTCCTCATCAGATTTGTCTGACAAGAGTGAAACAGAAAAGGAAATTAGAATAAAAGCTGGGCTTGCTAAGAAAACCACAACAAGAAATACCAAAGAAACAATGGCTCATCAGAGAAAAAGCACAAGGAACACCACAAGGAAAATCTCAGTTATTTCTGAACCTGAAACTGAAGAAAGTGAAAATGAATTTCATATCAAACAAAAGAAAGCTAGATGTTCTGCTAAAAAAAATCTTCAAAAATCTGGTATTAGGAATGAGTTTCCAGTTGATACGATGGAATTTGATAAGACGAAGAGGCTTTTACCTGGTTCAGTTCAGGATGAGGAATGGAATGAGAACGAATTACAGAAACTGCATTGGTAAGTAGTTAGATTTGACTCTTGTAATATCTAGAGTGGTCACAAAATAGTTGAAGACTATAATGGACTCCAATAAGAGGTTGATTTAATGACTTCTAATCATTAATATGGAAGATATCTAAAAACAAATGGAGAGAAATTAGTTTATACAGAGAATGAAGGGAAAATACAAATAACTTCCAACTAGGTACTTTGTGGCCATCTATACAATCTACATGTGAGGAAGGTAAAAGTGACCTGCTTTTCCTTCCCATTTAATATTTCACCTCCCTCTCACCAAAGGTAACTATGTGAGGGGATGGGTGTGTTAATTGAGTCGATTGTGGTGATCATTACACAATGTTTATAATGAAACAATCATGTGTAGACTTTAAATATATACAATTTTATTTGTCGATTATACCTCAATAAAGCTGGGAAAATAATTCAACACAGACAAATGCTGCTCTCGCAGCTTCACATTTTAAGAAATATTTGACAATTAAATATTATAAAACCTTCAAATTGTAGATCATTTAATAGTTTTTTCTGCCTTCATTTATAGAGAAGAAAAGACTCAAAATTAGATGATTTTTCCAAGGTTTCATAGTGTTGCTGATAAATCAGGTATGATAAGAACTTGGTTTGGCTACATAGACGACGAGCAGTTTTAGTAGTTTAGTAGTATTGGAAGCCAGATAATAGTTAAGCAATGAAGAGTGAATGGGAGAGTAAAGACAGCAAAGGTGGACAGCACAAGAAATTTGGCAATGATGGGGACCAGAAAAATGCATAGGTAATAGAAGAAAGTATGAGGGTAAGGGAAGATGTATGTTTGGTTGCTTGCTTATTTGTTTGTAAGATGACTCATGACAGAGTATGGTGGTATGTTGACGGAAATGAAAGAAAAGATATGATTGATAAAAGAGAGAAGGATAACACAGAAACATACCACATTCAGTGTTTCACTCCCTTGTATACCCCCCAACTGTATAACATTTGGAATTCATTTTCAAATCTACCTTCTTGAAACACTCTTAAGGATCTGTGCCAGTATACTCTTCCTTTTTCAGTTGCATAAATGTTCCTTTTTCAGGCATACAAGGTAATGTTCCTTCTTATTCTCCAAAGTACATGGTTTGGCTGCTTTCTTGCTGTATTGTGCTCCTCAGCGATCTTTTCCTCTCATAATTCTAACTTTCTTCTTTGTGTAGGAACTCCCAAATATAGATCTCTGGTCCTGAATTCTTGTATTTAGATTTGTATATATATTTCCCTTTGCCTGCTGGACATCTCTTTGTAAATCTCGCCTACTTAATATATCAAAAACCAATAACTTAATATATCAAAAACCAAACTTAATTTCTCCTGCCTGTCCACAGTTTCTCTTGCCTGACATTCCTGTTTCTGAAAATGAAATTCTTCCAGTCAACTAAGTTTAAACACTTTATTGATTTTTTAAAAAATCTGATTAGTTCCCAAGGAGCTATACATTCTTCCACAGGGTCATTCCGTCTGCACTCGTTCTTGACACTGCTTTTTCAGAGCTTAAATACCTTTTGCCTGAACTATGGAAATAGCCTTGTATTTACTTTATTTTCATCTGTGTAATCTGTTTTATACATCTCCAGACTAATCTTAATGTATAGTTGTGGTTCTGACAAATCAAAAACCTTCATTGCTGTCTTACTAATCTTCAAACCATATAAAGATTCTCCTGCTTTGCATTGAGAGCACGTAATGTTTTGACCTCAATTATCTTTTCCAACTGTATCCCCCATCATTTCCTTGTAATAAAGGTTCTCAACCTTTGCTGTATATTCAGATCATCTAAGAACTGCAGAGATTCCAGTTCCAAGATGGAGTAAGTACACTCCACTCTGTTGCTTCTGTGAAGCTGTAAAACCTGGACAGAATGCATGGAGTAGCGTTTTGTTGACTCAGGAAAGTAAATAAATAATATAGCAGGTTGGTTGGGGAAGATTGGAATTTTAAGTACCATCAAATTGGCAGCAATTTCCAGTTTGTCCTCTGGTACCCCCCACGCTAAACTCAAGGCTGCCTAACACCTGGAAGTGGGCACTGGGGCGTGACAGCGAAGAAAATCCCTCCACTTCTGGCTTGAGGAACAGGAAAGGGGACTACCGACTCTCAGAAACAGTAGAGGAAATGCCCCAGTTCTCTTTATTTTTTCTCTTATACCGCCGTCCCATGTAATCCTGCAGGGATGAAAATCACAGCAGCACTTGGGACTCATGTGCACCTAAAACTCTGAAAGTAGGGCAAGTAAAGGTCTCAAGAGGGTGGGGCAAATATGTTTTTCTCTTTCTGTCCTCTTTGCTTGGCACTGGAGAAAGGTGCAATTGTAAAGAGTATGCAGCAGAGCTAGGTAACTAAAGCCCCCAGCTTTCTTCCAGAGAAGTAAAAATGGTAACCCTAGGGAAGCAAATATTGCAGAGAGGAAGGAGCTAGCTAAGGACCCCATAAAGTTGTTTATGAACTTAGGGCTCACCTCTGAGTTGCACATGTGAGGATCTGATCCTAAACTTCATTCCTAAGACTGACAACTAAATGAAGAGGTAGACCACTACTGAGTTGCCAGGCCAGCCACTCAGTGTCCCACACGCAGGATATCCTAATATCACTATAAAGCTTTGACATTGAAACTGCAGCCACAGAAGACTGACTGGAATTTATAGCTCAGGTTACAGTGAGGTTGATTACCTGCTAAAACAAAATTAACATTCTCCATACGATGTCACAAAGACCCAGAGTTTTATAATAAATTTCAGAATGCCTAGGAAATAATCCAAAATTATTCAGCATACAAAGAACCAGGAAAATTTCAATTCTCATGGGAAAAAACACCAGTGTTGAGATATTGGAATTATCTGTTAAGATTCTGAAGCAGGTATATAAAAATGCTCTAGGAACTAAGAGCAAAAATTCTAGGAATAAATGGAAATTTAGAAATCTTAGCAAGAAACAAAGTTTAAATGGAAATTTTAGAACTGCAAAATAAGATAATCAAAATAAACTCATAGGCTCAGCAGAATGGAGATGACAGAAAAGAAGCAGTATCAGGAATGAAGGAATAGCAAGAGAAATGTTAACTATATAGGTTAAATATAATAGACTATTCTCTTGAGTTCTTTAAAATGTTTAATGATTGAAAGCAAATGTTATATGATGGAGTTTTCGGTATATGTGATATACTGATTCTAAGTAGACTGTTAAGTATGTACATATCAATCCCAAGAGTGACCAATAAAAAGCTGTACAGATATCTTCAAATATACAAATTAAAATAATTAAAATAAACTCAAAAGAAGGCAGAAAAGGAATAATAGGAAATGGAAAAAAAGCAGGAAACACAGAAAATGGTTGACCTAAATCCAAACAATTCCATTAAATGTTAATGGTCTTGTCAAATGAACTTAAAAATTGAGTCTGGAGACTTTGGTAGAAATAAATGAGTGATTTATTCAAGGATCTTAGAGTTTGCAAACTATAAAAACAGCTAGGAAGAAACTCAGAAGTGTTCCAAAGAAGACAGAAAAGTTAAAAGTTCTTACAAGCAAAAAATATATTGAGAATTATCAGTCCTGCATTCTTAGCCCTAGGATTGGCCTACGACAGTTATCAAATGACAGGCAGTCAGGCTGATGGATGCCAGGTGGTTCAGAAGATGGGCGCCAGGAGGTCTAATCACATCTGGTCTGGATAATAGATGTCAGGTGGTTGTATTTGTGAGTCCTTCAGGAGATAGAGGGTTACCTGGAAGTCCAGATGCACATCCAGGAAGTGATGCAGGACTAGAAAGTTAAAAAGAAGTACCAGACTAGTTAGAACAAGAATGGGGTATTTCCTCATGCCTCATATTCATGATTTTAGCAGCTTGGTTAAAGTGAATCCATTTTATATATTTCCTATCTTCACTCTCTCCTCAGTCTAAATGCACTACTTAAAAGACATTGTCAGAACAAATTTTAAAAGATCCCACCATTTGCTATATAAAAAAAAAACTCCAGATTTGACGTGAGTAAGTTAGAAGGATAGAAAAAGAAAGCTGGCGTAGCTATACTAATACATGTGAAAGGTTTCAGTAAGAAAATTATCAGGGATAAAGTACATTACAAAATGATAAAAGCGTCAATTCATTAGGAAGACATAACGATCCTAAATGTATATGCACCTTTCAATAAAACCTCCAAATACATGAATCAAAATCTGACAGAACTAAAAGGAAAAGTTAGCAAATCCACAATTATAGTGGGAGACATCAGTGCTCTTCTCTGTCATTAACAGAACTAGTAGACAAAATTATGAAAGATATAGAACTGAACAACAGTCCTAAATGACATAGAACAGTCCACCCAATAATAGCGGAAAATATTATTTCCATGGTTAGGTGGATCATTCACCAAGATAGAACATGTTTACTAGGTCATAAAACAAATCGTATATTTTAAAATAACTGAAATCATACAAAGGGTGTTCTCAGAGTATAACTGAAAGTACAAATCAAAAGAAAAAACAGGAAGATTTCTAAGTGGTTGACAAATAACAGTTGTAAATAATCAGTGGGTTAAAGAGGAAGTTTCAAGGGAAATTATTCTGAACAAAATAAAAATCAAAATTTGCAATGTAAGCCCAGAAGTTCATAACTTCATAGGGTGTTTTTACTGAGCTCTTCTCTCTTCCTGATTTCCACCATACCTGCTGCATAAATGAGTTGTGGTACATTCTTAAAATGAATGGACTACTGAATAATAAGGGAAGGACTACTGATACTTATAACAATTTGAATGAATTTCAAAGGCATTATGCTGAGTGAAAAAAGCTAGCTTAAAAGATTATATATGATTCCAGATATATGAAATTTTGGAAAAGACAACTAGAAAGCAAACAGATTGAGGATTAGCAATGGTTATAGTGGCGAATGACAACAAAGGTAGCACTTTGGATTTTTCTTGATGTAATGGAACTGTTCTGTATCCAAAAAAGTTAGCTAACTTAAAATTTACAAAGTGCCTAGACTGCATACTATTAATATTCTTAGGTTTGGGATACACTTTTCTGGTTTTTTCAAAGCTCTGACCTGCAGCCATTCCTTTGATATTTACCATACTATAAATATGAACTATTATTCATTTCTTAACTATGTCATTTCCTCATTTTCATTTCTTTGCCTCATTTTCACCTGTTATATTTTTATCTGTCCTTCAAATTCTAACTCACATCACTTTTTCCCTGTAACTTTTTCTTCATCACCTATTCCTGCCACCCACTCAATTAGATATTATGTCTCTTTCTCAAAAATGCAAAGTATTGCCACTCCAGACCTACTGAATTGAAATCTTTAAGGGTAGAGTTATGTATCTATTGTTTGCTTATTTGCCTCCATGCATTTTTGCTGTAAGCTCCACAAGTGATTCTTAATTGCAGCCAACTGCTTTGTACTCCTCATCATGCTTATAACCTAGTAGACAGATATTTAACAAATAATCATTGTAATCACTGTAAGAAATTTATGAGAATATCAGAGAAATCTGACTTAGGCAGATACTTAAACTAAGATCTGAAGGATAAATAAGAATTATTTAAGCCCAAAGTTCATGATAAGTGCATTTTAAATAGAATAGTATGTAAAAGTAGAAAGCATATTTAGAAATATTGTGAGAAGGCCAAAATGACTACAATATAGAAAGCAAGGGAAGAACAGTACAGGATGAGACTGGACAGATAGGCAAAGAACAGTGTAAGTCATTAAATATTTTGGTTTTTATGCTAAAGATAAGTGAGTTTTAAGTAAGACTGAAGTGACATGATTAAATTTACCTTTTAAGATTTTCAGGGAGGACATGAGTTAGTTACAGAGTAATTATTAAGTACTTTAAGTCTTTTTATTATAACAAAAGAGTCCTTTTCAGCAGTTCTAGACTTGCAAATTAGCAATATACACAAATATTGGAGCTTGAGCTTCTAATTCCCTTCAATGTTCCACCTTAGAACACTTGTGAAGAGATTAATTGTGCAAAAGCATAGAGCATTCAGTAACAGTATTTAATGCTCATAAGTGTCTGTTCTCTTTTTATGCACGGAATGGTATTCTGTAGTCAGCTTGTACCTGTTAACAAGAGCTGATTTCTTAATTTTCAGGAATCTTACAAAATATTTACCAGTCATTATTAAAATTAAACAACAATTTTAAAACAATACTCTGAATTCATCACTTCCTAATTATTTTAGTACATTTTATTATGTATACCCTTTAGGTACTTTGCATCAATTTTATCTGTATGGTGGAAATTCCATTTAATCGTGTGCCGTGGCACAGTTCTTATTCCTCATATAGTGACATCATGTTGGTAGCTTGAACTTAGCCACATCAGGGGTATTTACAATTGTGGAAATTGGAAAACATTGCAAAAAAGGACTTTTTAACCCCAGAAAGCTAGTTGTTAAAAATTTACCAGCATGACATTGCATAGGTTAAATTGGTGAGGTATATAGATCTTTTCTGGCTAAACTATCAACCTTATCACAATATATAAAATCTATTGGGGGGGGAGGGGCAGTGCAGTAATATGTGTACCAGGTCCTAAATAATCATTTACAAATGAACTTTTAGGATGTAACTCATTTGTTAGAATTAGAGAACTACCTTATATTGACTTTTTTTTCTACTTCAATTTTTCATTTCCCTCAAGTATTGTATCTCAAATACTGTGTTCTGTAAAGTATAATGAAAGCAAGCATAACACTTTTTAATAAGTTTATAACCTATAATATTTAGGAACTAAGAGCTCTTCTTCCAACATACTTAGCATCAGTAATACTTGAGCAACAGTGTAGAAACGTTAGTTGTGCTGGAGTCCCCCAAAAGATGAAATCATAGATTAGTTGGACTTAGGAGAAAATGTTTTAAGATTGGGGGTGATTTTTCAGGTTTATTTAATAGATTATATAACACACTAGTATGCATCTACTAGATAAAAATTATTTTGGTAAAATTCTTTCAGCACAGTAAATTTAGTTGATTTGGTGGTGTGCATTCGGGAGGTTATTTTTATTGATTTAAATTTCTTATTCTTTAACTGGTTTTGGTTTTCCATAGTGCTTTTGCATCTGTTCCTAAGCACAAACCTGGTTTCTGGTCAGATGTAGCTATGGCTGTAGGTTCTCGGTCTGCTGAAGAATGCCAAAGGAAATACTTGGAAGATCCCCGAAGAAAAGGATCCCAAAAACATGTCACTAAGAAAAAGCCAGTCAGTCTCAAAGGCCAAAATGGTAACCTTTGCAGTACATAGTTTTTTCCTAGTTCTCCATATCAATTTCTCTTCACTTACTAAATGTATTTTATATTTATCCCTGTGTCTTCTTATAGATGTTTTCTTAAAGTTTTAAAGCTCCAAAGATCATGTTTACTTTTTAAGTCTTATCTAGATAGTTACTTCCATCAATATTAGCCTTAGCAGCCTTATGCTTTGAGTTTATTCTAGGATTTCAATGTCTGGATGGATTAATGTTGGGTCTAATTTAATTTGAGGCCACCTGGGTAAAGTCCCTAGTAATTTATAAGAAAACTCAGAATAAATTTAGTTTTCTTGGTTCTCAGGAGTACACACTTCTGCCCAAGGTTTATGCCAGAGAAGTCCTATACTAAGCTTTAGGGAGTATCCAGTATCTGAATCCTAATTCATTGAGGTTTATATTTTAGCAAAATCAATAATGAAGTAGGCATTCAGTAAGAAGTGTGGGAGGTAGCCTTTCTCACAAGGTAAAGACCATTTCAACCTTGCCTAATTTTATGTAGTTTCTTCATGAGTATCTTGAGGGCTAATCATATTGCACAGATCCCAGTGTAGAAAAAAATCATTTGTTATATAGGAAACTTTAATAAAGGCTGAGTTTACATAATATGAATATACAATTTAGATTTTGCAGAGTTTTTTAATTTTATAGGACAGTTACTATAAATGTCAAATTCTCACCAAAATGTTTTGCTGACTCTTAAGACAAGAGATGTGATGCTGACAAGAAGCAAACTATTAAGATAACTGCCAAAGTGGGAACTCTTAAAAGGAAGCGGCAGATGAGGGATTTTCTGGAGCAGTTGCCAAAAGATGACCATGATGATTTTTTCAGTACAACACCTTTGCAGAATCGAAGAGTACTGGTAAGACTCTTAAATGCATGAAATCGTTTTCTTTATATTGAATTTTATCTTTCATTTTTACATATGGTTAGTATTCATAATATTTAGGCCAAAGATTGATAGTCTCCACAGATACGACCAGAGTACAGTATAGGAAGCAGTCTGCCAGTACTTGCCAATCTCCTCTTCACTGGGGTTCAGAGGTAATATCTGTGGAACCAAATAGAAAACCCAGAAATAGGCCAAATGTATATATTTGAAATTTCATAAACAATGAGGTAAACTTTTTTAAAAAGTGATAAGATTATCTACTGTATAGGAAATTCGGGGTAGGAATAGGTGACTGCACAAGACTGACATTTGAATATCTAAAAGAATTTTTATATTATGAAAAACCACATTAACTAAAAATTTCAGTGATTGGGATAAAATATTTACAACAAATAAAGCCAATAATATTTATGATATGAAGAACTCATTCAAATGTTACTTGAATAATGTGCAAGATCACAGAAAAAGAGGGCAAGAAAAAATTCAAAGACTGAATGAACACTTGGGAAAACTGGTCATTTTAGCTAGTGATCAAAGGAAAACAAAGTAAATTATATATACGTGAACCTTCAAAGTTATGGAATCTTTTTAAAAAATAAGTTAAAATATTCACTAACAAAAAGCAGTGGATACATAATTGAATCATACCTTCTGGATAGCATTATGGCAATATATGTCCGCTGTAAAGATGAATCCTACTCATGGGAGATTATCCTAAGAAACTGAAAAGAAGCCAGAAATCTTCACACAGGTATTCATTGCAGATTTATCTTTACATCAAAAAACTGGAATCAATCTACATACCCTTTAAGGATGTTCTTCATAAACATGGTGAAATATAGTACAACTATTAAGTGCAAATTTGAGACTGTTTCTAGAATCTAAATTAAATATTAAGAATATTAAGATTAAAGTAATATAAAGATAGGTGAATAGACAATTGGACTAAGTGTAAAGTTGAGTTTTAGTGAGCTAGACTTAGTAATTTTTTCATTTACAAATTTCTTAAAATTGTTAAATCACTTCCAATTTGAAAGGCTACACAGTGCTTTAATAATTTAGTAACATCATTATGTGGGCCCCTTTTTTGCCTATACAGGTTGTAAAGGGAGGTATTTTAAGGGAGCCAGCTGAGGCTCTTATTATGTTCTCTGCCCAATAACTAGTCCTTTAGGGGTTGTACTCTTTATATTATTCCACCGTCATTTCAGGTTTAATATATGTTTTGGCCTAACTGCAATAGTAGCAACATTTTAAAAGCAAAGATAATAAAATAAAAAAAGGCAGTGAAGTAGTTCATTTTCTGTGGCATAAGTCCACTTTCTCTAAGGTTTTAATATAGAGGTAAGTAAAATCTTAAGGGTTAAATCATTTATTGGAAGTAAATACACACAAAAATTTAATACTGCTTGAGTTCCTATTAAGTATAATAGTAAATGAATTATAGTTTTGTTCTGTTTACACAGAGGTTAGTAAACTATGGCCCATGCTCCAAATCTAGCATACCATCTTTTTTTGTAAGCAAAATTTTAATGGAACACAGATGTGCCCATTGTTTACATGTTGGCTGTGGCTGCTTCTCTGCTACAGCAGCAGAGTTAAATAATTGGGACAAAGACTGTAATGGACCACAAAGCCTAAAATATTTACTCTCTGACTCTTTACATAAAACTTTTGCTGCCCCTGGTCTACACAACTTTTTGAACCAGATGTCATTGTTTCCATTTTACACAATAGAAACTAAGTTTTATAGAGGACATGGCTCTATTCTCTACCTACTAATATTTTTCATTATCTGAGAAAATTATAAGGTAGAAAAAACTTATCCCACAAAGAACATTTTGTGATGAGAAATTTTATTTTTAGGGGTGCCTACTGATAATAAATTTTTGCTTTCTAGTTGCCGAGTTTCCATTACAATCAAGAGGATGATATTCTGCCAAATATGGACAGAAATCCAACAACTCCATCATCAGTTATCTTTCCTTTGGCAAAAACTCCTCAGTGTCAGCATGTCAGTCCTGGAATGCTAGCCTCTATAGATAGGTAAATATTTACACATGATACTGTAATTCTCTGTATCGGCATTTAACATTTCATAAGTTGAAGAGAGTAGATGTCAATAATGAGTCATCATTATTAAAAAGTCAAGAAAGAATAGTACCTAGAAGTCAAGAATGGACAGTTTTGGCAAGTAAGGTTGTTATTCAATAGTGTTGAGACACAACTCACACTTTGTATGAGGATAAATTCCAAATGGATCAAAGTTTTGCATGTAAAAAATTTTAAAATATACCTAAAGTAACCTTGGACAATTATTTCGTAATCCTAGATTAGTGGTCTTTCTAACTATGATGCAAAACACCCAGAAGCCACTAAGAAAAAGAATGAGTCAACTATATAAAGTTTCATCTGATATACCAACCAGCCATAAATAACCAGAAGACTAAGAACAAGGAAATAAGTGTTAAATAACAAGTGAAATAACAAGTGCAGAGAAAAAGGAATCCTCATACACTGCTGGTGGGAATATAAATTGGTAGAGCCGCTATGGAAAACAGCTCCTCAAAAAATTAAGAATAGAGCTAACCATATGACCCAGCAATTCTTCTGGGTACCTACTCAAAAAATTTGAAAACATGTATTTGTAAAGATATATGCACCCCTATGTTCATTGCGGCATTATTCCTAGTGGCCAGGACATGGAAACAACCTAAGTGTTTTTGATGGATGATTGGATAAAGATGTGGTACATATATACAGTGGAATATTAGTCAGCCGTAAGATGCAATACTGCCATTTAAGACAACATGGGTCTTAAGAGTATCATGCTGAGCGAAATAAGTCAGGTAGAAAAGGAGAACAATCAGGATTTCACTCATATGTGGGACATAAAAATAAATGAATCCCCCCTCCACAGAAACATTGACACAGACAACAGTATGGTGGTTACAAGAGGGGAAGTGGTGTGGGAGGAGATTGAAAAGGGTAAAGAGGGTCAAATATATGGTGATGGGATGAGAATAAACATTGGGTGATGAGCACACAATACTACATACAGATGATGTATTACAATAGCATACACTCAAAACTTATATAATCTTATTAACTGTTACCCCAGTAAATTAAAAAGACAAATGACAATGTGAGAAAAGACCATGTGGAACTCATCATAAGAAAAAGGCTAATTTTCCTGATATAGCACTCCTAGAAATTAGGAATGCCATTTGCATGCATTGTTCGTGAGAAGGTAAATTAGTTCAATCTCTGCAGGCAGCATTTTGTTAGTGTCTATCAAAATTATAAATATACATGCTCTTTGACCTAAAAAAATCTGGATTTGTGTTCAGCTTACTCATTGCTATAACAGCAAAAGACTGGAAACAGCTCAAATGTCCATCACTAGGGAGTAATCAAATAACTTTTGGTACATTATGTAGTTATAGAAATTAATGAAGAAATTCTTTATGTGCTATTATGGTAAAATGCCCATGATATATTAAGTGAAAAAAGACACAGTGAATTATGTTACCATTTGAGTAAACTGGGGTGATATATGTGCGCATGTGTATATGTATATACTTGTATGTGTAGATATATGCATATATCATAATTGCTTTATTTAAGTAGCTCTGAGAGGATACATAGAAACTGGGAACACTGAAGATCCTAGGGAAAGGAACTAAGATATCTTGGGAGACTTTGAATTTTGAAGTAAGCGAATATAAGAACTATTTGAAATATAAATAAAAACAGGAGTGGTCAACAGTAAAATATCACAGAGAAAAGATGGACAGTGAGAAGGCCTAAAAATAGGCTATTCCATTTGGCACTTAAGCTGGTCAATAGCAGATCTAGTAAGAACAATTTCCGTGGGCTGTGAGAGGCAGAATCCTGATAGCGACTCAGAAAAAAGTATTCAGTACTCTCATGAAGCTTGGTGAATTTTAATTTGCATTTATTTGACAAAAGCAACTTTTTCTTAGCAATCTACAAATTATTTTTTATTTAGTATTTAGTGCAGGTGAAAGAGTATTGAGAGTATAATTTTGGACAAAGTTTTTGGTAAGCATTTTGGTCAAATCATCAAAAGCTTTAAAATATTCCTTTGGCCCTTGAATTTTATTAGTCAATTCTAAGGAAATAACTAGAAATAAAAGGCTTGTGAGCTGAATTGAAGACTCAAGACAGCTGGAAATTATAAATTGAGGGGTTTTCATCACCAAGCGTATCCTTAAAGTGATCAATTTTAAGATTCAATCTTGACAGGGAAGTAGGTGACTGGGAGAAAGGATTGTAAGTTGTGACAAAAGGGAAGGAGTCCCAGGGATAAGTGTTGGTGAGTTTTAGGAAAGAGGCAGCAAGGTGAGATTGGAAAGAGCACAAATGGGTTAATGAACAATAAGCAAAACCATAATTTCCTAGAATATACTTATTTGGTGTTTCTGTTTCCTTTAAATACTTGAAGCTTTTTGTCTGTCTCCCTAGGTACACCATTGTCATTTAAAAACTGGAAAAGAAAGCACATTTTTAAAATACTGAAACATCTTAATTTCGTCAATTGCTGTTCAACCTGTGGATAAAAGTATGGTAGTTAATGCTGACTTGAAATTATTTTGTATTCAAACAGGGATGATTGTGATAAATATGTTTTTCATATGCAAAAAAACCATAAAAGTAAAGGTGGCGTTGTCTGGGGAATTATCAAGAAAAAAACAGTAAGTATGTTTATTCTTCACACCAGATTTATTCAGGGTATACTGGACAACAATAAATTATGAGAGTTATAAATTATGTCACAGTCCTTACTCTCAAGGTACTTACAGCCTAATACAAGTAAATAATAATATGGGGCCATGAGTGAGGTAAGTATGTAAATGCTGTAGGATTACAGATGGCAGTTGACAGACTAAAGCATTTGAAGAAAGTGAGAATGGTAAAAAATTTTCATTCAGAAAGTCAGGTAGGGTGGGAAAAATACTTATAGTTCAGGGAAGGACATTTCAGGTAAGACACAAAAGCGTATCTGTTCAATGATTGGGGAATAATTCAGATTAATTGAGTTATTGTAATAGAATAAGAAATCATCAAATCCCATGCAGCTTCACAATGATTTCAAATGTTCAGATTCAGCTACTTAATTTCATATATATATATTTAAAATGTAATTACACAAAACAACTTTAACTTTGATATCTCCTTTGATAAAAGATTCTAGGAGAATCCTTTATCTTCTTGAATTTTGGATAACTTATAACCAGATAAAAGTACAAGTATTCTGGAAAAGCTGATTCACCTCAGATTTCCTCAAAGTAAATAGCTAATTTTACAGAATGGTAATTTGTGGGGGTAGTGGAATGGGGGACTGACTACCTTATTCCCTGAAGGTATATTCCTTCTGACCAGATTATGGTCATCTCTTCCTTGCCTATGAAATATTTATATTACACACAAGCTACAGTATAATCCCTCTCAGGATTATATAATCATATCCAATCTTTATGGGCTTCATGTGTCCACAGCAAATGGTAGCTACCTCTGGGGACTTTGATTTAAATTCAGCCTGGAGACTAAATTCTTCAAAAGATATCTCTACTCCATAATTGAAGATGAAGGCAAACTTCCTCTGTTTCTTAGATTCCTTTTGTCCAGTCCCACATTCCTGATGAAAATAAAATTTTGGTTTGTAGCAAAGGACCAGAAATCATCTTAATATAATAAGAAGTCTTCTATTCCTCTTTTTGCCAGTAAGAAGCTGGGTTGCCTTGACAAGCGTTTCTCAAACTTCAGTTTGCATGAAAGTCACCTAGAGAATCTTCTTAAACCTTAGATTCTGACCCAGTAGATTTGAGATTCTGCCTTTCTAACAGCCTCCAGGTGATGCCCCTGCTGCTGATCCATGGGACCATACTGAGAAGTAGCAAGACCTTAATCTCCTGTTCTCTCTGCAAAATAAGGAAAAGTTCATATGAATATAAGAGCCTTTTCTTTTAAAAACTTTTATTTCTCTATATTTCTGACATCACCTTAACTACTTATTGACCTTTGTTTTTCTTAATAGATTATAATTTGAGCCTTTCCACCAAACTATAGTATCTTTGTGACTTAGCCCAATTTTTTTTTAATTTTTACATTTTATTTTTTAATTAATTTTATTTTTTTAATTAAGTTTATTGCGGTAACATTGGTTACACAATCACATAATTTTCAGATGTGCATTATCATTTGACATCGGTATATTCTACTGTTCACCAAAGTCCAGTTTCCTTCAGCTACCATATATTTGATCGCCTTTACCTACTCCCCCCTCACCCCCCTATATTTGTCCCCCTTTACTTTTCTACTCCTTTACCTACTTTACCCTCCCCCACCCCACTAGTAATCACTACTCTATAGTCCTCTGATAATCACTAGTCTATAGTCCATGTCCATGAGTCTCAGTTTGTTTGTACTGCTCATTTGTTGCTTTTAGGTTTATATCCCACATATAAGTGATATCATATGATTTTTAGCTTTTTCTGTCTAGCTTATTTA